TATATATATATATATATATATATATATATATATAATATATATATATATATATATATATATATATATATATATATATATATATATATTATAATATATATACAAATACTTACAACCACAAACAAACACACACAAAAATATACATACATATATACACCTTTGTATATATATATATATAGATATATCTAAATATATAACCCGCTTTCTCTCTTCCCTTCCCCTCCGCTCTCCCCTTCTCCCGGACTCGCTCGCCTCTCCCCGCATTTCGTCACCGAACCGAGCCGGGAACGGAACTGCTCTGCTCCGAGTGCCTCGTCGTATCCGGCCACTTCCGTTACGCTGTCCGGTTAAGGGAGCAGGCGAGGCAGAGCTGTAGTTAGTTATTAGCACTGGTTAAGTGGGGAATTATGGGGGCGGCCCGTTTTCTTTTCTTTTTTTGAGGGTGGACTAAGGTCATTTATACTTTTTACATAATAGTACCTATAAACGTATATACCTTTATATGTATTTTATATGTATATGTATGTATATTCACACACACACACACACATATATATATACACATAGACACACATACATATATTGTATACTGTATATACATGTGTGCGTATGCCTGTCTGCATGTGTTCGTGTGCGCGTTCGGGCATGCATGTATGTGTGTGTACGTGTGTGTGTGTGTGTGTGTGTGTGTGTGTGTGTGTGTGTGTGTGTGTGTGTATATATATATATACATATTTGTGTGTGTGTGTGTATATAATATATATATATATATATATATATTATATTTGTGTGTGTGTGTGTGTGTGTGTGTGTGTGTGTGTGTGTGTGCGTGAGTGTGCGCGCGCGTGAGTACGTGTATGTGTGTGCTTGTATGTATACGCGCTTAGGCTTGGGCGCGCGTATATATAAGAAAAAAAAATAATGGAAGAGAAATAAAGACAAGACGTTTCAAAATAAAAGAAAGTTACAAAAATCTACGGGAAGTTCACATACAACACAGACAAAGCCACGGCTCACATAAGACAGGACCAAGGCCAATAGCCTTGGACACAGACTGTGCTGGCAGGTCGGTTGAAAGAAAGAATGGTTAATGGTTAAAAGCGAAATAAATGTGCTGGACATCATAAAGCACTATAGGAAGGTATAGTAAAGGGTGATGTCAGGTGATAGTTACTATGCGTCAACTATCTAGAGTAAAGTTGGAAAGTTGAAAAGTTGAAAGAAATGAAGTGTAAATTTTACCACAAAAACAGAAGCAAACACATGTACAATATATATCGGAAGGTCTCGTGATGTTGGTAGCTTTTCAGGCAACGTAGCATGTTGTGTGGAGAGCTATGTGGTAATCGCATCTCGTCTGCTGTAGGAAAGGATGTATTTATATCCTAAGCTTGGATTTTAATATTGCAACAATATTTTAAGCGCAGAAAAGCTCGTCTATGCCTAGAGAAGACCCCAGGGTGGTAAATATATAGTTGAAAGAGTACTAATAATTATCGGCCGGTTTGTTCATATATACGGACATGCATTTACACAGAAATAAATGCATATCTGTCTATCTGATAAATATACATTGATCTATCAATCTACCTGGTAGCTAAGCATGTCTCAACTGATAGATATTTATTCATTTCTGTGCTTATGCATGTCCGTATAATGAATAATAAATGAGTAATAAATAATTGGTC